TGAACCCGAAACTACAGAAAAGGGAAGGAACATTGTATGTTTTTTCTTTTTCGGCATTTTGTCGTTCGTGTACGATGAAATATGTCTGATTTCAGCCGAGGACATTCTCGCAGGATCAACCTTTGCCACAACAACAGTTATTTTATCCATTGCTACTCCCGTGCTCTGCATCAAGATGGCAGCTCCCTGGTTTCTTCAGCGCATCTCTTATTGGAAGAAAATCATCTTCGTCGTCGTATTTCTTCTCGGAGGATTGACGACGCTTGTCAGCTCGCAGCGCATCTTGGGAAGACTCGCTGGAGTTAGCGTTATAGAGTCTGGCGTGGCTACCAGTGAAATAACGTTTCTGTCTCTCACGGCGTTCTACGAACATATTACAGTAAGCTCCTTTGTGGCTGGTGTAGGGTTGTCATCTTTCATAGGACCCCTCTACTACACAAGTATGTAGCACAAAAATTTATTTGTTTTTGTTTTTTTTCTCTTATCTAAATTTTGTTTCTATGATCTGACTTGATAGTGTTAATTGGCTGCAGTAAAGAGTTTCGGTAGGGCTAACGTTTAGAGCGTTAGCCCTTCATCAGAGCAAAGAGCTGACGTTCGAAAGGGCTCAGTAGCACTCGAAACGTCGGATTTGAATAATGAACTCTTTACGGTGACTACTTTAATCATAAACTTAGTTGATAAAACCAAATGATATTGTAATACCTCCTTCTCCATTCTCCCACGCAACATCACAGTTTCTTTAGAAACCTATTTTCTTTATAAATTTTGTTTCATCTCTTTTAGTAGTATTGTCCTCGTCTTTGTTAGTCTCATCTGTTTTTTTATTTTTTTATTTTTGTTTTACTTTTTCCACCTTAATTGAAGTCACGGAAGAGATTTCTCGTCGTGACGTTTGTCTCGAGTTTCGCCTTTAGAGGAAAGCGCCTTTAGGGTATGAGTAAAAATTGCCTATCTCTTTAGTTCAAGAAAGTTGAGTCAGTTGTTACTTGCAGAGGAGAACATCGACTCATAAATGTACGTTTAGCTTCATGCTTCATGTGAAAGTGCTCGTTCAACAAATGGTTAACCATTATTGGCAAACGCTATTTTATGTTATTTCATTTCATTGTCAGGTCTTACCACGTGGTCTTGTCTGCCACCCCGCAGTACTATTATGACAACCATCCCTTGGCCCTTCCTGCTGTTACTTTTCTACGCCCTCCTGGATAAGGAGCCTATCGGCAAGAAAGAGATCATACCATTCAGCGAGGACCATCCACCCGTGGAAGATGACACAACAACTTTTTCATTTCGTGACAGATTAAACGTAGCCAAGGATATTTTCCCATATATAACATTCCTTTTTATAACATACTTTTCAGAGTATCTTTCGAATCATGCTGTTATAACAACTTTGGCGTTTCCAAATGCGCCTTTCAAGCCGAGAGACCATTATCCATATTATATACTTTCATATCACGTTGGCAAATTCATGGGCAGGTCCCACTTTTTTTTAGTTTCCGCGATCAATCCTAAACTAGTTCATTACATCAGGGTTAGACGAACATGGATCTTAGCCTTGATAGCATCTCTGCACGGGTTGTTTTTTTTCTTGGCCTCGTGGTATAGGTTTGTTCCACGAGTAGAGATTATTATTGCTTTGTGTTTTACTGAGGGATTTACAGCGGGATCCATGTATCTTAATTCCGCTCACACTGTTTCTGAATTGATAGCAGATCAGCAGAAAAAAGAGTTTGCGTTGAGTTTGCTTACAGTTGGTAACGCTTGCGGCAAGCTGGCCGCCGGATTGTGCGGCTTATTTCAAGAACCGCTTCTAAAGAAGCACTGTGTTGAAGATCTTAAACTTGGAGAATATTGTCTAACAAGACATACGCGCAAAGCAGGATGGAATAAAAGCCTTAATTGTTGAATATTCAATT